TGATGAAACTACAGACAGTTGTGGGCGGTATATTGCAAACTTAATGATAGGCGTTTTGTGCCACGAGGTTCCTACAAAGGGATATTTAATTAGTTCAAAAGAATTGAGCACAACAAACAGTAACACTGTATCAAAATTTGTACATGAAGGGTTAGCAAACTTCTTTTTGCCAGAAGCTGTACCAAGTGAAAAAGTACTACTTATGCTCTCAGATGCAGCTTCTTACATGGTTAAGGCGTCCACAAACTTGAAAGTTTTTTACGGCAACTTAATTCACTGCACCTGTTTAGCTCATGGGATCAATCGTATTGCCGAAACCATACGCTTACAATTTCCGTTAGTAAATAAGTTGATCAGCAATGGCAAAAAAATATTTGTTAAAGCGCCTTTGAGAGTACAAATGTTTAGAGATCATTGTCCAAATATTCCACTGCCTCCAGAACCAGTGTTAACCAGATGGGGAACATGGCTTGACGCCGCTATATATTATGCAGACCATTTCCAAAATTTTAAAAATTTGATTTTTGAATTTTCCGAAAGCACAAGTAAATCAGTAAAAGAGTGTCAGATCGTTCTTAACAATAGAGAGCTCCAAAACAATTTGGCTTTTATCAAAACCAACTTCAGTTGCATTAGCAAAACTATTAAATCATTGGAAAAGCAACAAGTTCCTTTGGTTGATTCAGTTGCTTTAATAGAGGATTTCAAAAACACTATTAATACTGTTCCAGGAAAAATTGGCGGCTTAATTAAAAATAGAATGAGAGAGATTTTTAAAAAAAATATTGGATTTCAGAAACTGGTTCAAATATCGTCAGTTTTAGGTGGCGAAAATGTTCCAGAATTAAATATGTATCCAGATATTATTTCAAAGTTTAAATACGCTCCTATTACAAGTGTAGACGTGGAAAGGAGCTTTTCAAAGTATAAATATATCTTAGACGATAAAAGGCATAATTTGACAGTGGAGCATTTGGAACAGTATTTAATAATAAGCTGTTTTCAGAACGATTAAATTATATTTATATTTATTTATCTTATATTTATCTTAAGCTGTTAAAAAGTGTTTAAAGTTTTATTTCTACTGTTTTGAAGTGTTTATTTTGTTTTATTTGTGAATTAAATACATACAAAAATATATTTTGCATTATTTTAAGATCCACTTATATTTGCTTTTTTTACAAAATGTGATGCTTTTTTTTAAAATATGAAGCTTTTTTAAGCACTTTTTTTTGATAATTTTGTGCTTATAAATCCGGTCTTTAGTTATTATACACATGTTAAAACAGAGCGGACGTGCCTAACACCATTTGTTGCGAAGAACAAAAATGTTCTTCAAGATTTCTTCCTGCTCTTGTGTCGTCTGTGACCGTGTAAAAATTGCAGTTCTAAATATGTATACACAAGAGTATAAAGAAATCTTGAAAAAAATGTTTTTCTTAGCAACAAAAGGTGATAGACGCGTCCGCTTTATTTTAAAATGTGTATAATAACGTATGTTTTTCGAATATCGTAGCGAATCTGTTCAGTTACAAATACCAAATATTTGAATTTATTTAGGAGAAAAAAGTAAACCTGTTTTCGCAGAAAAGTAGCAATCATCTTTCGGATTGGCTTGTGATTTATGTCGGCAAGTTAAACTTGTGTATTTTGCTATAAAGTGCCCTTTCAGCCAACCCTGTATATTGCTCAATAAACTAGTAGTGATGACCGGAAGATAGGTGTTTTGAGATAAACAATCAGAAATACTCAAACACTACTTGAACAATCGACTCCAATTTTGTTGATTATTTAGAAGAAGCTTTCGGATTTGAACAATTTCAATTAAAAAGTTTTCCTACAAAAATTGGTGTACCCATTTAATACGTCCATGTTTTAAATACCCCCTTGAACAACTTGCATCAATAAAACCAGACTTTACAATATTATTTTGCAGATCAGGGGTATTTTTGTCTAATATGATTAGACTAATAGTCGAATTATCGACTCGACTCTACCAAATTTATTCGACAGCTTCCAAGCTATCGAATACAGTTTTTTCTCTGTTTAATAAGTTATGTTTTTATTTTTACCTGCCAGTATAATTACCATGCTTCCCATTGTACGAGAAAGACTATTATATATACATAGAAGCCAGGAAAATATCACGCTTTTTCGAAAACGACAATATCTAAGGACACATAAAAATCCTTTCGACTTGCCTGAGAGGATATTTCGAGAACTATTTCATCGTGCAATTCTGATCGAGGAATTAATTACTTTGGTAAGACCACATTCCCCAGAAAGAAAATGAGAGAGGAATCAAAATAGCAAACATGTTGGTATGTGTTCTCCGATTATATTCAACAGACTCGTATCGTAGGTATATTGAGGAAGAATATAACCTTGTTATGACTCAGTACTGTACATAACAAACATAATAGATCCACTGGTTGTGCCAGAAAAAATATTGTTCCCACAAACTACTATACGCCCTATCCGGATTTTTCTCAATGTAGTCTGTAGGTATTTCCAGTTGATTGGATGTTGGTCTATACATATCCAACCAGTACTTTAATAAATAATTGAATAAATAATTTTACCGAAACTAATTCCGAATTTAACCTATCTTCTTCTTCTTTACTGAAAAGGTGTCAATGTCAGGTGCATGCCTATCAAAGACTGTCAAAAATCAGTCGTATTTCTCGATTCTCTATTTGATCAATTGCCGTCAACAAATCAGTCGATTCTATTGTCGATTTTTCGGTTTATTCGAGTTGAGTAAGGTGAACTTTTTACTGAGAGACAGAGAGATAGGTTTAATGAGTTACGTCAGTTCCTGTCTTATGTGTGAAAAGCAAAATATCCCAAAAAGATGTTTTCCTGCGTATGTTATAGAATTGCTGTAAACGTAAATGCAAGATATGCCTCGCAGGTATCACTCCATACTTGCATTTGCTCCATAACTCTATCGCAATCAACTCCAGTGTCCAAAGAAGGCGATTCAAGGTTCACTTGTGCGGCGCTATGCACTTATATGCCTCATCTTGTTAATAAAACATGAACCTGGATCACGTAGTTACCGTTCCCCACTCAATCGGCCACCCCAGGCATTGTAATCCAACATCCGGAATGCTTAGAGTATAAATAAATTTCAAATCGAATATAAATTTCCGTATTTTTTCAATGGTTAAAGACATCCATATTCTTGAAAACAACACCAATTATTACATCCCTTTCCACACATAAATTTTGTAATTCAGTCGTAAAAGGTTTTATTGCGAGATATTTTCATCGAATTCTCCTAAGGTTTCAACAAATTGGATGCTGAATGCAGTTTATTTACTCATGGTGGTGGACAAGTTATGGCTGTTCGCAAAAGGACATCTCTGCGGTCATCAAAAAATATTTATGTGGCTAACATGGTGCAGGTTAATTGAGGCTTTCAGGACTTGCTTGATTTTGATGCCGCATTACGAGAGCTGAAGAATTCCATTTAATAGCAACTTTATGTGACTCTTCAAAGATCTAAAATGTATTTTATAAGCTTGATGATGCAAGAATATATCTCATACAAGTATACATGTAAAGTGATGAGTAAATATGCATACTGAGATGTTCAGTTGCAGGTAAGGATTACAATCCGTCCGCTAATTCAATCCTGCAGGTTCAATAGGTGGGATTCATCAATCCCTTGTGGGATCTCACACTCTCATAGATGTGGATGATACTCAATCACGCAAAACTGGCTGAGCAGATCTGTATGGATTTGGCTACCTTTTTTTGGGCTAGAATATATTGAAATGCAGGCTGTGAGATACTTCATGTAATATTTATTGTGGGTCTCATTACACATTTGATATCAATTTATTGTTGAAATAAAATGTTGAATACAAGACGTCCATTGCCAAAGTAACTATTGGATTACCTTGAATATTGGAATTCTTTCGGCGAAATAAATCTACTACACACTAATGCAAAACGGACAACCTATACTTTACACTACTTCCACGCAGAGTCGCGGGCTCAGGCTAGTGATAATACAGGGTGTCCTGAAAGTTGGGACTTTCCTTTTCAGAAACAACTACGTTTGTAATGACAAACCTAGTGTATGATGAAACAACAGCGAAAAATTAAAAAAAAAATGAAAAAGTACTCACCGCTCATCGAAAAGAAATTTCAAGTGTCACTTGTAAGTAATGTTGTCTGCGATAGATTCAAAACAATATGTATATGCTCCATTGTCAGGCATCAGTGTAGGCTTTTAGAAAGGACTGACATTCCCGAATGTTTGTCAACCATGTTCACCTCAGCTTTATACACTAAACATTTTTCGCTCCAAACAAAAAAGAGCATCAAGAAGAATCTTGAGAAACGATCTGCATGCATTGGTGGAGCCTCGGTAGCATTTCGAAGACTCACGCCGTAAATTAAAATATGGACAACTCCGATATTGCTGTACGAGTGTCATTTTAATTTTGCTTTTAAGAACGTGTAAAGGTTTTGTTTACCAACATGGCCAGCATCTGGAATGAGTACTACTGTGCATTATACGTGTTCATGTTTGATCTGATCCAGGTACAGGGCAGAAATAGGTTACGCTTAGGTTTATATTTCGAATACATTTTCGTCTATTTCACGATTGTAACTTTGTGTCAAAATTTGCCACAATTCAAGTGGTTCTTTCTGTAATAGTGAAGTCAGTGACTATTAATTTGTTTACGATTACTTTTGCCTAACTGGGCCGATTATCAAAAGCAATATATTCTTTCCTCGCCGTAGTTGTACTATTGTGAAAATGTTACCAAACAAGCGGTGCTTTCTGAACTATAAAGTGGCCAATGATTAGATAGAATGCGTACATACATACTATACAAAATTATGAACTGTCTGAAAAAATTTTACTACGACTTAAGCTAATCAGAAACACGACAAATAGAGTTTCACCACTAGACTAATTTGCAAAATCTACTAAATGGTGGCAATCTTAAATCAATTTCCTCAAGATTTAATCCATGCTTACCAAGTTATAGAGGAGCCAAAGACTACCGGTCATACAGGCCGTCGGAAATCTGCATTTTAGGGAAGCGGGATCCCGCAGATCAAGAAGTAAAGCAGTGTCTAGAAGAAAAGTCGTAGTTATAGTGAAGAGTTTATTGATGGGGCGTAGCAGTATAGTGACTGAACTAATGTGTTTGATTCATTTTTAACCAACTGGATGTTTGCCTATTCCGATAAAAATCTACTGATATTGTCCAAGTGCTTTTAGGGTTCCTGCATAAGCAGCTGTGCTTCATGAGACTCCGTGACGAGGCTCTCTTGGTTGGAAAGCAAATCTGTGTCCCCTGTTTTCTTCTGTTCGTCAGACGTTGAAGTCGCCATAGGTTCATCGGGTCTGACAATGGTCTTCTGGATCAGTTTGACCTCGGCTTCTAATCGATTCAGCCGTTCCATTATTGACTCTGGGGTATGTTGCTCTTTTCCTTCAACCTATAGGATACAAAAATCGTCACCACTATCAGTTTATATCAATCGCCCTCTACCTAGGGCAATGTTATTACTATATGCAGAAGAATAGCTAAAGCGAAAATTCTGAATTCTGCAACTCAAAGCTTCAGATTGAAATAATTGTGCACCAGAATATTTAGAATTCCAAAATAAAGTCTTACATGCTTAAAAGTAAATGAAGAAGCTCATGATTTAAAGATGCTGGATAACTTGTTTATAAAAAATTTAGGTTGGGAAAATTATTTTTCTAACTGTTTTCAAAACACTATGAAGTATCAGTGGCCCACGTATTAGTAGTAGGAATAAAACCACCTCCAAAAGATACTTTATATGTTCAACTTAATAATATTTGCAATTACAATATAATTATAACATTAGGAAATGAAAACCTTTGTAGTGGATAAAGGTCAAAAGATGCATTTCAATAATGCTCAACAGTATTTGCAACTTTGCTGTTTTTCAGCTAGTGTTAACCACCTAGTATAGATTCACTTTAACCTATGAGTCTGTTTGACGTATGTGATTTAGAATTTGATCAAGAAGTACCAGAAATATTCAACTAGGAAATATTGCTATCCCTGCCAAGGTGGAGCTTCATGTGATTTGAATCACATATAATGCCCCAAAAGTTGAAATCTTCATGATATGACAGACGGCTCTATCTCGCTAAGCTCTAGGCATATCAACGGAATATATCTCTTACACGTATGTCATACATAATAAAAATACAGATAGAATATAGTAAATTTACTTACGGATTGCATAGTGAGATTTGTGTGACTGGAATTTAGAATTTGTAGCTTAAAATTCGAAAAAGAGTTTGTGCTTGGTGACAAGTGTCAAAACTGAAACACGGTAAAATGATGTTAAGAAAACATTTGAAATTGAGTTCGCAGACAAGCTGCTATGATCAAATGCTTCTCACACAGGGAGTATAAAAAGAACGCGTAGTTAGGAGCGCACTGGAATACCGACGCTACTGTACAAAGAGAATCATTCATGATTCTCTATCTATTTCCAGCATTGCTTGGCGGCCAGGGTGCAAAGACGGTTGGTCAGAAAAACAAAATGACCACCGCGGTGGAAAAAATTACATCTCAACCAGTAGCGTATCATAATGAAAATAGTACTGCACTCACATCAGCATATTTTGAAAATTGATAGTCGCGAACTCCAAAGGTGATACCCATAGGTATATACTAAGTGACATATAAATCCGAACACCCAGTTTAAATGGTACTTAATGAAGCATAATAAGTAAATGACAAAAATTTCAAAATGATTGCACTGCTTTAAAGCCCTTTGACCTTTAATAATGTGTGGATGCACCCTAATGTGCTACGCATTCTCCAACGCGCCTAGGCATGCTTCTGATCAGGTGGTCAATGTCCTCCTGTGGTATCTCATTCCAGGCAACCACCAACTCCTCTCGAAGTGCTTCTAGAGTCTGAGGAGGACGTTGCAAATTGAGCAATCTCCTACCCATCATATCCCACACGTGCTCAATTGGGGATAAGTCGGGAGATCTTGGTGGCCATGGTAACAATGTGACATCATTATGTTGAAAGAAGTCTATTGTGACTCTTGCAACATGTGGTCGGGCATTATCTTGTTGGAAAGTTGGATCTGCCAGGGTGTCAAGATAGGGTAAAAGATGGGGTTCTAGAACTTCGTGGATATAACGCTGCGCGTTCATGTTACCTCTGATGAAGATTAAAGGTGACCTGGAACCATAAGCTATAGCACCCCAAACCATAACTCCAACAGTGTGATGAACATGTCTTTCAACAAAAAACTGTGGATTTCTCCTTTCACCACGTCGCCTTCTAACCCTGGCACGACCATCGTGCATGCCTAAACAAAATCGAGACTCGTCACTAAAGACAATACTGTTCCATTCCTTATCCCAGAGTGACCGTTGTCTGCACCACTCAAGGCGATTACGTCGGTGTTCTCGAGTTAAAGGGAGGACCCAGTGTGGTCGGTATGAAAACAAGCCAAAACTTCTCATTCGTCGGTAAACACTTCGCATGCCTTCCGTGTTCTGCAAACCATTCATTTGCAATGGACCTGGTAGTGGAGAAACGGTCCCTTAAGGCCAATAATCTTAGGCGGCGATCTTTACGGTCTGTTGTTCTACGGCGGCGTCCAGTGCCCCTTGCTCTTTGCGTACGGCCTTCTGGAAGCCATGCCTGACAACACCTAATCACAGTGTCTACACTTCTTTGCACTCTAACTGCAATTGCCCGAAAAGAAAGTCCAGCTTCCCGAAGTCCCACTATACGGCCCCTATCAAACTCACTAAGTTGACGAAATCGTACAGGTCTCCGTACTCTAGGCATCGTAACCGATCGTAAAGGATGTCAAGAACCAAAATCAGCCAACGTTGATTCTTTACTGCGGCTGAAATATTCATTTTTAGAGCGTTAGTGAATTAAAAAAAAGCAGTATAAAAACCGGAATGTCCAACTGATAAGGCTGAAAATTTTTTCACTTGTTATTTACAGTAAGATAAATACATTCACCAACTTTTATTAAATAAAGCCATTTAAACTAGGTGTTCGGATTTATATGTCACGTATATTATAGGTTCAGTAGACATCTTAAAAAATGTCGGAAATGCTTTGAATGTAAGCCATAGTGCGGCATCCCCACTTCACAGTAGTTCCAAACCTCAAATTTTCAATTTTACTTGCCGGTGAAAGGATAAGCCAGCATTGGCGCACCATAGTCTGCAAAAGATAATTTAAAAGCACAAAAACAATTTGTAGTAATTTCTCATCTAATTTATATTGAATCAGCTTGTGGAGAATCCTGGATAAATAATCTAATTTGTGTGAAAGGTGGTGCCAGTTGGATTTTAATCCTGGAATTGATAACGGTGAGAGTGAAAGCTATCGGCTTTCATTGGCAGTTGTCAAAGAAGTACACTAATAATCTGTGAGAGACTGGAAAATTCGTGACACGAACTCACTTGGATCTCTTTTGCTGTTGATAAAGAAAACACGTGGATAACAAAAATCTAACCCGGAATCTAACCTCATACGAGTTTTCGGGTGATAATAGGCTACTTGACTCATATCCTATTTTCGTACTTCTTGCAACATTTGACCTAAGAAAACGTAATTTATCTATTTCAATTTTTTAAAGCGCATATGGATATACTCGTATATATGGTCATTCCAATTTGAAAAAATATTTCATTTATTTTCAATTTGAAACGGTGGAAGCGCTATCGTGTGACGTCGTATAAATTAAAAATAAAGCAATGTCATCTGTAGGTTACTCATGGACTAACGTTGACTTCTTTAAATATTTTTAAAAAACTCCTAATTATCGTAAAGAGTTATCCTTTTCTTGATTTATTGAAAAAATGGACTTAATTTGCCGAAAACTGGCACATTGATTGTTGTTAGCTTATTTGCCTTCAGCCCAGATTTCAGCCCTGCTGAACTGAGGGTCATCAAAACTTATATGTAAGTACAGTGCATCTGATGTAATGATAGATATGAGAAAGAATAAATAATACACTTGCATAATCTTCCTCTTCAGAAGTCATTCAAAACTAGGCTACGCATCATCACCTCTAAATAATTTCACCTAATGTTACATCAAAGTGACCTTCGTGAAGATAAATTTGAGTTACAGTCGATAAAAAGTCTTAGCCAGGTGTTGAGTGTATTTATTTCCCTAGACCCTAACCCATAGCCTTTTTGAGATCTTTCTCGATGTGTTTTGACATTCTCGGACGATATAATAACGATAATAACTATATTTTTCATATAAACCTGTAGACGTTATGTTTATATTCTTAAAAGTTTAAGAGGTCATGCTGCTGTCAGCTGCTGTTTACAAATGGTATGACGTCATTATTCTATGGGCCAAACATCACGAGGAACGTTTTCGCCTGTCTAAGAAAAATTAATTTTTAAATTAAAGATTTACGGTTTTTCAGGTCTCAAAAAGTGTAGTAATAAATTATTTGATCTGATAGAACAAATATTAACTATTTAAGACCTACTTAAAACAGTGTCAACTACCCTATTCTAAAATACGATTTGGTTAAAGATGTCAACCCAGCCTTTGCAACTAAAATGCCTCAATATAGTATTTGTAGATTTGAACAGGAATATGACTCACTTAAGCGCTTGCTTTGTGACTGCCAAGCTGTAGATCTAGTTCTGAGTAACTACCGGGGACAATGTCAAGGGGCCTAATCTCTCCTCTTGATGCACAATACAAAACTTCAACGTTAAAATCTGTGTGTTTGGTCCTTGCATATCTGCGATAAAGGCCTGCGAGTCGGTGTAGTGCCATCCGGTATCGAGAAAATTCCTAGCATCTGGTATGGTACGACCGACAACGGCCGGCGACGAAGGCATGAAAAAGGCCCCGTTCCGTTCCCTAAGCGGGAGCGTGTGGGAGATACGTGTGCGACAACGAGTTACGACACATTGTCTCAAAATTCCGAACGTCCAAAGCTAATTGTTTCGTTTTCTTTATTCCCCCTAGAGCGGTATCAGATGCCGCGCGGGACTTCGTGGATGTTTGCGACCAAGCACCGCGACCTGTAGGAGGAACGAGGAATCTTAATCGCTTCTTGGTCAGGTCCCGTATTGTTCCTACTGTCTTTGCTTTTCTGCTACTGCTGCTGTTGCTGCTGATTTCGCGCAATTATCGTGCCGATTGATCAAAATAGCGGTGGTATGTTCTTGAATTAGAGGTGTACGGATGAACCCCATTGCGGTTCGTTGGCATGGGGTTCACGACTTGAATAAAATTAAGTTTCCACAAAAGCTAGTTCCCAAATTAAGTTTACAAATCAAGTTAAAATTACCGAATCGTGCTTGATAAAGCCGAGGTATCCCTCTCTATCGACGTACATTCGTCTCTTTGTTTTATCCTTTCTTCCTTCTCCTCTTTCTCCCAAACTGGTATCTGGGCAACCACACCAGACAGACTTGCTGAGCTTCTAGACTCCAACCAAGCAAAGGTCTTACGAACTACTCGACCAAAGGGCAGTGGATAATTTTTACGGTATTTTATTATCTCCTAGCCAACAACAAATTTTATATCATTTTAAAACAAATTTTTGAAAAAACTTCCCAAGATTAATACTCAGACAATCCTGTGTGACAGAGAAGTAAATTTTCCTGATACATTTTATTTCATTTCATACGCATTTGAGTAAAACATGCTATGTTTCTGTCAATTTGGAACTGTTATTAGCCATAACGTCAAACATTTATTTCATCCACACATTTCGTTGAGGTTTCGGCGAGATGCATTCTTTCCTGTTTTCACCTACTAATAATAATAATCATCTTTATTCGTTGATACCAAGGAACAGAGATATGGAAGTGATACTTGGAAAAGGCGAAGTTCAGCTTTCATTCCTATAGAGGAATGGCTGGTCTTCCACTTAACCTAACAAAACCTACTTAACTAACTTAAAAGCTTAAAAGTAAAGATATACGAGGAGAATATGTTACCGTAGTAATATTCAAACAATAGCCTTTTTGAAAGCATGAATAACTAATATATATAGAAGAAATGAAAAAATTCACAGAATACAAACAAAGACATAAAGAAATTAGGGAAAAACGTACAATGTAAAGTAGGTATAATCATATATATGTAATATAGGTATGTGCATAGAAACAAAAAACATTTAGATATTCGATGTTATTAATTATTGCAGCGAGATCTCAGAAAATGGAAGTAGCATTTTGAAAAATTATATATCGATTTCGATTTCAAGTATTGAGGGAGAGCGTTATATATTTTGGAAATGTTATAAGAAAAAGATCTTTCAAATAGAGCAGTGTGATGAGCTGGTGGTGTGATCGTGGTTTTAGACCTTATGTTTACATTATGTGCATCTTGGCGAAGGGTTATTTTATTATATAAACTCGAAGGAGTTTTCATAGTTACAACCTTATGGATGAGTCGTAAACACGAGTTTTGAACCTTTTGTATT